CATCGCTACTAGGAGCAAGGACGCTACTAGGGGCTCCTGGCATCGCTTGATTTGAAGAATTCCAGTTTTTTCCCAGGACGCCCAACCGCACCAAACCTTGTTGTGGTTTTTGCGAGAGAAGTTGGGCCTCACAGGCGGGTGGTTGCGACGGCTGATGCAGCCGTGTCATGGGAGTCGGGGTTGAAGGGTTTGGGGTGGTTCACATGGTCGGCTCTTCGTACTCTAGCACCTTTGTTCCAGTGAATTGACAGAGCGCTGTGTGACCAAGCATCAATGGCTCGAGGTCTGCCAAAAGATAAAGTCAGTATATAACAGAACACTCTGCAAGGAGACTAATCAAGTCCATGGATCTTCCAAGATTCTGAATGCCCTCCACACATCTCGAACTTCACGCCCCTCTTCAAAACTCTGTTTCAGCCAAGCAAGGTACAAAGCTGGGCTGCGGCGAGGGTGGTTGTGGTGCTTGCACCGTCACCGTCTCGCAATTCGAGGACAACCGCGTGGTGCACCGGGCCGCCACTCGGATGAAGCTTGACGCCGGACATGAAGGTGGAGGATGTTCTTTAGGGATTTGGTACACTGATGTCCGGGAGATAGTGACTAACACTATTTACATCTCCCCATCACTTTACCATATAATACAATGCCTTCATGGACTTCGACAGTTTTTCCGAAATCTGACTATACTATGTGTCAATTCCTTTGGACTCTTGCCATTTATTTTGGCTGTCAATTGCTTAAGTTTTTTCCACTTTTGTCATCAAATTTGGCAAAGAGCCCGTCATTTGGTGAATGTGCGAACTTGTGTATGTATTCATAGGTGGCGCGGTGGTAAGGTCATCCCGTAAATTGAACGCCCCCTTTGTGGATGGCGCGGGACAATTTTAGGATCCACTGGGGGTTTGTGAAGGGCGTTGTCATGACACAGCTTAGTGAGTTATTGTTAATTACTGTCCAGATTCTCAGGTTGGCGTGTCAGGAATGAGTGCATCAACAGAGCACAAGATGCGCAACTGCAAGGACTTTTCGTTGGGATCATTTCTACTGGTTTGGCCAGTATCCATATCAAAGTCGAGCATGGAATCGTAAATCTTTTCATGTTGATTTGCCGGTTCTCAGCACCGCTTCTTGAGAAGGTCATGCCATTGGTGGGGCTCCTCTCATGTGATTGCTTTTGCGACTCTCAGGTGAATGCCTGCTTGGCCCCACTGTGCAGTGTGGATGGCAGGGGATCTCAAGATCTCATTGCACAAAACCATGTGAAGACAATTTATATTGATGTTCGAGACTACACTTTTGAGCATGACCTGCAGTATGGGCATCTTTGTTTCTACACTAAGAAAGCCCACCACCCAATTCAGAAGACGGGCGTGCGGTATCATGTGGTTTTTGGCTTAAGCTTCTTGTTCCAGTTGTAACCACTCTGCTGCTGGCCGACCAGATTTGAGGATTCAATGCATGCGTCTTACTTCTTCTGCTTTTCCATTTCCTCTCCACTTCCTTTAGAGGTCATCGCTATTAGGTTGGAGCCCATCACCATTAGGTTGGAGGCCATCGCTATTATTAGGTTGGAGGCTATCGCTTCTAGGTTGGAGCCCATTGCAGGCCATCGCTTCTCCGTTGGAGGCCATTGTTATTAGTAGGCTGGAGGCCATGGCTTCTAGGTTGGAAGCCATTGCTATTGTGCTGGAGGCCATTGCTTCTAGGTTGGAGGCCATTGCTATTAGGTCGGAGGCCATCGCTTCTAGGTTGGAGGCCACTATTAGGTCGGAGGCCATCGCTTCTAGTTTGGAGGCCATTTCCAGCTGCGATTAGGTTGGAGGCTATCGCTTCTAGGTTCGAGGCCATTGCTATTAGCTTGGAGGCCATCGCTTCTAGATTGGAGGCCATTGCTATTAGGTTGGAGGCCATCGCTTCTAGAATGGAGGCCATTGCTATTAGGTTGGAGGCCATCGCTTCTAGCTATTAGGTTGGAGGCCATCGCTTCTAGAAGAGGGTGGGTGTGCTTGGGAGAGCACACACTAGCTCAAAACCCTTAGAAAACACTGTAAATACCTTGCAAAATTTCAAAAACTGCTCTGAGAACTAGGCGAAACGCAATTGTTTTGATCTGTCTGTGCCCAGTCTCCATGAATTGCAGTCTGAACCTTCGAGTCACCAACAACCCTTCTCCCCTTCAATCACTCGTCATGATCATCCGGGTAGGGGTCTGTCCTCCAAAAAAATCAACCCAAATGAGGAGTGGATATTTTTTTTTGGAGTGTAAGTATGCAAGTGATGAGTATGCAAGCATGCAATGAGTAGGCAAGTGAACTAGCACGGGAGATGTCCTAATGAAAAAACATTTCCCCACTTTACAAATTCTCTCTTAAAGGCGGAGGGTGGGCGTCAACCGAAAGTGCAAAACCAATGATAAATACTATCAGGTAAATCTCTCTCTGACGCCCACAATGAGTGTAGCATCATGAGCGAATGAAGATGTAATACTATACATCTCTAGATTCAATAGCTTTCCTCTGGATCTCTGGGAAAGTAGATTTCCTAGAGTTTTGTATTTTCGTTTGAAATGAACACTTACATACATACTTATAGCTTTTTTAAATACCATGACTATTTCCAGAGATCCAGAGGAAAGCTACTGAAATGAAAGCTTTATATATATTTTTTCACTGAAGTGATCAGATCTAGAGGGAACCTTTTGAATTAGAAGCTTGTACATAAAGCAGTTTTAATATAGCAATGATTATTCCAAGGGATTACTTTAAAGAAATACTATCTACTCAAAAACATAGTTTTTGTCTTATTCCCAGCACTCCTAGGGCAAAAAACACTGTAAACAGTGTATTTATAGGGTTTTGTAACATGTGTTTTCTTAAACTAACTAAACTAGAATTAAAATATAATTAGGTAAACTTAAATTAGAAGAGTTCAATCAAGATCCTTGTAGCATTGATGGTGGAAATTGCTATTTATTAGATATTGGATTGCAATAAAAATCCTTTCCAAGTTCTCTTTAAAGCTCATTGTGGAAACTAGTTCTTACAGTTAGATTTTAGTTAAAGTCCTTTCCAAAGTTAGTGGTGGCTTTGATTTAATATCAGATTGTGAAATTGTGATGCTTAACTAACTTGAAATGATTTTGTATTTGTTTGCTCCCCACTACAAGGCAACATCAAATAAAAGGACTTTAACTAACATCTAATTATAAGAATTGATTTCCACCATTAACTGTTAACTGAAAATTAAGTTCGACAATCAATTCTAAAAGGGTCTTGATTGATATCCAGTACACAAGCAATTCAATCAAATTATGTTGAAACAAAATAGAATAAAATCTAAACAACAAGCAATTTCCACAATGATTTTGAAAAGGACTTTAATGTACATTTAAGTAATGACTAATTTCTACAATGAAATATAGGATTTTAATTGAAATCTAATTCAAAATCAATTGCCACAATGATCTTGAAAAGGAAGTTAATCGAAGTTGAATTACACATTCATTTTTCTATAATTAATCTTGAATAAATGTTACTTGAAATCTATATAATATAAACATCAATTTCCCCAATTATTTTGAAAATGATATAAATGAAACTTAGTTTGTAAAAAATCCACAATCTTAAACACATTGTTAATAGAAAGCTAATGAGAAATCAACTTCAACCAATAATTCTGAAAGCGCTTTAATTGAAGTCTAATACCAAAAGCAATTGCAATCCAATTTAAAATCAAATTCCACCGTTAAACTTAAATGAAGCAAAAACACTGTGTTTTACAGTGATTTTTGGCTAAAACCTCTCCAAAATTGAGGTTTTGAGCTATTTTTTGATCAATTTTGTGAGATCCAAGCCTATCCCAGTTTAGAGAGAATTAAAAAAAACAAAAGAAAAAACCAAAAACACCAAAAAACAAAAACAACAATGTTTGAGACAACATGGGGGCACTATTGGTTTTTGGATGTTGGCTGCATTTTGTCTCAAACATTTTTTTTTGGTTTATTGTTTTTTTGGTATTCCCTCTAAACTGGGATAGGCTTGGAAATCACAAAATTGATCAAAAAATAGCTCAAAAACCTCAATTTTGACGAAGAATTTGCAAGAAATCACTGTAAACAACAGTGTTTTTGCATCATTTTTTGCATGAAAAACATCTCCCAGGAGCACCCGTTCTGTTCTAGAATGGAGGCCATTGCTATTAGGTTGGAGGCCATCGTTTCTAGAATGGAGTCCGTTGATATCTATTGGTTGGAGGCCATCGCTTCTAGGTTCGAGGCAATTGCTATTAGGTTGGAGTCCATCGCTTCTAGGTCGGAGGCTATTGCTACGAGGCTTGAGGCCATTGCTTCTAGGTTGGCTTTTTTGGCTTTTGGACGCCAAGGTGCTAAGCGCCTTT